GTTCATACTACTTTGCTTTTTCCGAACAAAAATAAAAGTCTTCATGTTGTTTTGTCCTCTTTCACAAATGTAATTTAATTGGTCTTTGACAAAGTGATGCCAAGTCTTTTGGTCCTCAAACATTGAACCCCCTTTGGCGTATTGTTATTTTGAACCTTGATAATGCAGTATTTTTTTTTTAATAAACCATAGTTAGTTAGTAACTGGTTTATTTGGGCAATCGAGTAGTCCATGCATGTGCTAATTTAATTTGCTATTAGGTACGATCATCTAATCACTTTATTGATCCTTTCTTTGTAGGGATAAATTTTTCCTTTAAACTTTTTTTTTTTAAATTTTTCATTCATTCAAGAGATTAGTATACAATGATGCCAATTAGGCCAAATAAAGTACAGAGATACATTCTCAAGAAGAAAAAAAAAACAAATATATAGAATTAGGAGAATCAGAAGAACTTATGCAACTAAAGCAAGGTGAATTAACATCACAACAGAAGTAGATAAGAACATCTTTGAATCACTATAACTGGCGAGCAAACTGATAAGAGGAGTTGCCAACTAAACCGAAAATTGATAGAGGATGTTACATAGCCACAATAACTTCCAACCATGCCAAAAAACTGTAGAAGACGCATTATCTGTAACTGCCATCCAGCACACCGAAGAACTGCTAATTACAAGTTGTCTTCTAAAGAAAGCCAGAGAGCGGAATGTCCATTCACAACGCCGGAAAATGCCAAAAACTTTAATTGTCATCCGGAAAACCGGAGAACTGAAACTATCACCCAGGACATCGGAGCACTATCACAGCCATCTAGGACGCCAAAGAAACACAAAAACAGAGAGAGAACTATCGTCGGAGCACTATCTCGGCCATCTAGCATTATCTCAATCAACTAGGACGTCAGAATGCCCACAGAAAGAAAGCAAACAATGAAAAGCATAGAAAGGTGAGAGAAACAAAGAAAAAAATGGGTGATCTTGAGAGATCTAGAGAGATCTCAAGAGAAATAGAGATAAAGATAGAGAGAGAGAGAGAAATAAAAGAAAACAGAGAGAGAGAGAAGAAAACAGAGAACTCGAGAGAAAAGGGGGGAAAAACACAAAAAAAGGGAAAAACACAGAATAGAGAAAAACCTCTCTGCGAATAGAGAGAGACAAACTTTGAGAGAGCAAGAGAGAAAAAATCTCTAGGAACAGAGAGAGGCAAAGCGGGGGGGAGTACCACACAACTCTATGGTGGACTTTGGCGCTTCCCAATAGACTTTGAAACTCAACTTGCAACTTTCATAGGACATGTTGCTATGGCGGGCTGTTAAGTTCTTTAAACCTGTTTATGGCTTGGTCGGGCTTTGCCTCTTTATAAATAGAAAAATATTAGGCTTAAGCCCGAGCCTAGTCCGACCATTGGGCCTAGATTTTGAGCCTGAGCCTAGTCCTATATAAAGCCTGGAGTTTGATGTTGAGAGGTATTTTATAACATATTAATTATATATTATATAATACTTTTTTTTGCTATTAATTTTATTATTATATAATATATATAATGTATTATTAACATATATATTATATTTCTGTTATATGTTTAATACTATCGGGCTGGGCTTATTTGGGAAAGCTTGAGCCCAACCCAAAAAATAATTGGGCCCGGTTTTTGGAATCCAAGCCCATGGACTTAAAATTTTGTCCAAGCCCGATTTAGGACGAGTCAGGCTAGGCCAACTCATCGGGCTACCCGGCCATGAACAGGTCTATTTGCCTTCTTTTAACTTAAACAAAAAATAAAAAAAATGTTGAGACTTGAGTCCATCTTTGACTCCCTTCAATTCAATCGATTACACGTGTAAATACCTATGGATATGAGAATACACATGTGATAAGATAGGGTTGTAGTTCCGGATCCAGTCATACATCCGAAATCTGAAACATTTTAAAAAAGTTTTGAAAAGTTAATTGTTTTTATCTTATATATAATAAATTTATTTAAACATAAAGTATTGAGTTTTTTCAATTTATATAGTTATTAATTTACATACATAATTATATTATATATAAAAATTTTAATCATATTGGTTGGGGAATTTTTTACACCAAAAGACGATTAATTTTTTTAGGTATTGATTAGGTCCGTAATTCAATTTCCATGGCATAGGATCACACTATTTTATCTAGCAATATTATACTCTTCTCAAATGTGGATTTGGAGCCGCTAGTAGCAGGGCTCGAAACCGCATCTCGTCTAGGGCTTACCTAATTACATGCCAATCGAGCCACCACTTGGTTGGTCAAAAGACAATTAATTGATCCATAATTGAAAACCATTAGGGTTCTCAACAGGCTGGGTCTAGATAGAACTAATCTCAAACCAATTGTTAATTGAGACAAAATCATAGACCCAAAATCATCCCAACTAATAATCAAGTCTATCACATCCACCCGATTATATTGAAAACTATATTTGTTTATTTAAATGATAATTTAAATTTTGATAATATAATCTTAATAAAAATGATAAAAATACTAAATTATTTAGTTGTTAAGAAATTAAACATTTTTAACTAATACTGTATTATTTATTATCTATCAAATTTATCGTTCAAAACATAAAACATGATAAAAATTATAAGAAAATATTATATATATATAAACTTTGTATTTTGTAATATTTTGTATCTATACTGTATATATTTATACTTGTACTCATTGCAAACTGAGACTAAATATTTATTAGATGACAATATTAATTATCACCAAGAGACAAATTAATAAGCAATTCAATTTAACAGGTGTGAACATGCGAAAAGAAAAGGACAAATTCAACTGGTGTAAACATAAAAGATGCTTTGAACACGTGAGATGAGAGAAGGGTCTCCTCTGGATAGAAGGTGTCTGACTAGTAAGGAACAAAGTATAGACTTAATTCGGTTCATGCATGGGTCGCTTGGACTTTTCTGGACCACTTGCTATGTTCTAAGCCTTGTATTTTTATTGGTTCAAACTTCAAACTTTTTGGTTCGCTTGGATTTTACTGGATGATCGGCAATTAAGACATGTACTTTGAATAACTTAATCAAAATATTTTTTGGAAATGGATGGATTGGTTCTTCCGGTAATTAATCAAGATCTGCTGGAGATATTTTAGTTATCTTTTCAGGTTCAAACCCACGCCAATGTAGAAAATTTTGAGGCCTCGTTCATTTTTCGGTAAGGTACTTATCTCGATAAGTTTTTCTTGGGAAATATTTATTTGGGTAACTGTATTTTTTCATGTTCTTTAATTTTTTATGTAAATAAGGCAATGACCATTTTAGTCATACAAATCCATTATTAAAAAGGACATTTTTGTCTCATTTAAGTGTTGGCAACTTCTCCTTAGGTGTGAAAGTTATTTACCCACCTAAGAGATAGGTAAATGATACGGAGGAAAATTTGGTCCCCGCATAAATATGAAAAAAGAACATGAGATTCTTGGTCAACCCCTTTCGAAATCCAAACCCCCCCCGCATGCACAAGAAATGAATTGGCAAATTCAATCCCTTGGGTAGGGGTGTATCTAGTTGAGTCGAGCCGAGAATGTAAGACTATTCAATCTCAGTTCAGCAAAAATTCATATGACTTGAGTTTGGGCTTTAGCTTGACAGTGAGCCAAGCCTATTCAATTCAATGTTTTCAAAACCGGACCAGACCCAATAGTCGGACAGGAAAAAAGTTTTACCCCAAAACCGCTATTTGACCAAAAATCATTGATTTGATCAGTGAATTACTGACTTGGGTGGTTGAACAGTTTGACCCGGAAATGGTTTTTGGCCGTTTCTTGAGTTTTTTTAATTTTTTTTTGTTAGAACAAACTGTCTATTCGAACCATTTGACCCAGGAACGGGACTTCAAAATTATTCTCTATCCGGTCCGGTTTTAAAAACCTTTATTCAACTTAAACCCACCATAAAAGACAAAAAACAAAGAGATACACATAATATATACCAGCCAAGTTTCATTAGATTTGAACTTGGCTCGATTAATAAATGTACCTACATATTGAATTCGAACTCTAAATCAAAAAGCAATTGCACCATGTAATGCATATTGTCAGTTTTTCCAATCCAATTGACATTAGATGTCTGGAATTTTTGTTCTTAATTCAAAATTAATTGTAGAGAAGAAAGATACATGTTTGGGACAAAATGTTTCTGAGAAGAAGTAGATGTTTATAGAGAGTGATGGTTTTTGATGGGAACAATTTCATTGGCCAGTGGATAAAAGGAATAACATATCAATCATTCATTTGTTATGCATGTTAGATATCAAAGGTTTTACAATTTACACAATGGTAGAGTTATCGCGTCAAATCATTTTCATTTGATCACTACTCTTTGTACGAAAAAGTTTGATAACGATGACATTTATTTTATTTTGTCATTGTGGAAGGCCAAACCTAAATGGCTACAATTGAGGAGGGTTTGTTTTAGGCTGTGTTTGATATGATAAAAAAATACGGAAATCTTTACAAATTTTGTATAGGGTTTTTTGTTTTTCCTTTCCTTTCTTTACCTTTTTCTTCAAGTCAAACATAGCCTAAAGGTCCATTTGGTTCACAAACAAAATTAGAATCGGAATTGGAATGATCTATTCTTAACCTGTTTGGTTTAAATAGGAATGTGATTAGGAATTGGAATAGCAGGAATGAGATTTCATTCTTAAGGGAGGAGCAGGGAATGACCATTCTCTCAAATGAGGGAATGTCATTCCAACAGGAATAAGAATAGGAATGGGATTCTGATTCCGGTCAACCAAACAGTTGGAGAATTTTTTTTGAAGGCTAACAGTTGGGGAATTGGATTAGCCCATTCCGATTCCGATTCCGATTCTAGACCCATATTCTTCCAAACCAAACGGGCCTAAATGTTTTGGTGATTTGGTCATTAATTTATTTCTAAGGTCTATTTTCGTCTTATTTGCTTTCTAAAACGGCACCAGGTCTGCCCCTGTGGCATTATTGTGATTTTCACCGGCTATACGTATCACCCTCTTCTCTCTCCCTTCCGGATCGAGCAGAAACAACCATCGAAGCTGACAACAAACACCGTACAGTCCTACTGTATATTTTTCACTGATCAGCGAAGGCTTCCCCTCTTGTGTGCTTCGACAATGGCGACTGTGATGCAGAAGATCAAAGACATCGAGGATGAGGTATCACTTCCCGTTTCAGAAATCCTGTTTTTTCTCTTCCGAAAAACCCTATCTTTGCATTGATTGGAATCTGCTAAACCAAGAACCAACATTTCGTACTGAGTATGATTTTCAATTGGATTATTTTTCTCTGTTCTGTAAGGTTTTACATTTCTATGAATAACGGTAGATGATTATACGCGCTCGTTATTACAATAGTTTTATTTTGTGCACGGTTGAACTCGCATTAGTGGAAAGTTATTGAGAGAACTAACTTCTTAGGTTCCTCCTGTAAATGAATACGCGTTTATAATATCTTGCGCGTCTAGCAAGGTCTTAACATTTTATATGGGTTGTCAAATGGTGGAAGCAATTTTTGTTCAAGAAGGTTATTCTTTTCTGTTGACGGTCTATTTTGCCCGGATTGCCTGCAGCACTTCCATCGAAGTTTAGAATCATCCCTGCTTCAATATGTGGTATCTGAAGTCTTTTGTTTGGTTGAGAGTGAGTTGGGAGAAGTAAGATCGTTTGGATGTTTCTGTTAAGATCATTAAGAGAGAGGTCCTGATACATCTCAGTGTTAGCAGCCCATGAATTACAACAGAAGAAGATATCTGAAATTCATTTTTCTAGAGATCTAGTTTTGTTTTCAAATATGCGCCTATTTCCTTCCTCCCAAATTCCCCACAAAACTGCATGAACCACAATTTGCCAATACACTTTGCCTCTGCTGCTCAAGCCTGACCTATGCCACTGGTTGAGGAACTCCTGAATGTGCTTAGGAGAGACCCAACTATAACCAGTCAGGTTTAAGAAATGCCACCAAATCTTTTGAGAAAAACTGCAATGAACGAGTAGATGATCTGCTGATTCCCCTTCTCTTAGGCAAAGCACACATGCATGAGGAGAAATATAAGACCTTCCCAGGCTTTTCTTCTGAAGAAGATCACATGTGTTTATTCTCTGTAGACGTGCTTCCCAAACAAAGAAGCAAACTCTTAGAGGAATATGACTGCATCATACCTGCAATTAGAGCCTTAAACATATTTTTCCTTTATGAAGAATTACCTTACCTTATCATATTCAAGTACGGAGCTCTAAAAATACTAATAGAGTCTCAGCTTCCTCCAGTGAACTGATTCTCTTACAGCAAGTTGTGTGACAACATAAGAATTTCTTGTCCTAGGTTTCACAATAACATACTCATCTCTTTTGCACGAATTTGCATGATTAATTTTAAAAACCTACCATAGTGTGTGCATATTTTTCCTTTTTGAAGAATTATCTTACCTTATCATATTCAAATATGGAGGTCTAAAAATATCAATAGAGTTAAATTCATCTTCATGCTTTTTTTTTCATTTTTAGAAATGTTTCTATTATTTTATAACAGCTTCTCCTTTTTTCAATTTTTATCAAGTTCTTTATTTGGTAATAGTTGTTTTTTCTTTCGCAATTTATAATGTTGACTTCGCCTTCTTGTTTATTGCAGATGGCTAGGACTCAAAAGAACAAAGCAACTGCACATCATCTCGGTTTGCTAAAGGTATTCTTTTTCTATCAGTTAATATCTATTTTAGAAGCTCCAATTTTGGTGGATATATCATTTGTGAATCTATTACATGCAAGAAACAATGGGCTTATTTGTTAAACAGATTGTCCAGAAAAATGCATCCTCATAAAGTGGACATATTTTTGCATTAAGGTGTGAGGTGGCAGTTATTCAAACTAGAAATGAATTACAGCAAGTTTATGCATGTAGGCCTTTATGGACAAAATAGTGTTCAACCAGAGGACTATCAGTTGTGGACATTTTCTACAACTATAGGTGTCTGAATGCCTTGATTTTGACACTCATGGAAGGCTAATGGGATTGTATACCTTTCCAACATCTTTTGATCTGGACAACTTTTTAGCAAACTATGGCCATATATGAGTCCATGTTATGATCGTATTTTCTGAGAATTTACATTGTATTTCAGATTTAGGTTGTTGATTATCCCTTACTTTGTTGGCCTTTAGCGCTGAAGATTGAATTGTGCTTATTACCTAGATATGAGTATAGTGATTTTAGATAGTTCTTCATCAGTCACCTAACAGTTATAACTAAAGATATCTCTTTTACAGTCTTGGAAAATGTAAGCATCAATAAAGGAATCAGAGCAGGATTCTTGATTTCATTTCCCAAATCCAAAGTAACATTACTAAAATTTCTTTCTCTTATTTGCATCCAACATGATGGTGCCATTTTGTTTCTTCTATTAGTTTCAAACGAACTATCCTTGTATTTATGTTGTATGGAACTCTCTGGAATATGAAGTACTGATATTGGATGTGTCTAGTTTGATGACTCACTAGATTTTGTTTCAACCAATATAATTTCCTTATTTTCTTTCCTTGCATGAAGAAAGTTTCTAGCTGCAAAAGTAAAGCTAGTATGTTTATTTGTGCCATTGTCTATGTTATAAATTTATAATACAATTATTAAAAATTATATTGCTATATAGTGTTTTTGATTTTCATAAATTATTTTTTCTACACTATATATTAAAAAGTTCTCCTAGTTGGGTCAAGTTGGGAATCTTCCTAGGTGGCCCCAATAATTTCTGCTATGCTAAGAAAAACTGTGGTTAATCTAGGCTGTCCATCAGGTAAGTGATGCTCTCTATAAAAATGATTCATCTTAAACAGGTGAACAGGTCTTTTAGGCCAAAACTTTTTCATGATAACAAATCCTTTTCTTCTGTAGTATCTTTCAAATTTGATGGTGTACCCATGTTAGGCTTACATGTATTTATTCAGCTGAACAGCTGTAGCTTCTTTGTATTTAGGGAATTCCCTGTAAATGTCTTTTTCTTATAACTTCCACCACCATGTATAGGTGGTCCTTCCTCATTGCAAGGAAGCTGTTGCTGTTTTCCAGCTCTACTGGACCATTTCTTCAATCAACACCAGGAACTAAGACCCTTAAGTCCACCAAGCATCCCTTTTGTTTTATGGATGTTTACCATAGCTCTTGTATGTCAGGACAGGAGTCACATGCTCCTCTGTTGTTAGCATCTTTTGTGAATGCACAATACTAAATCACTTAAATATAATGTGCATTTATTTTTGTCATGGTGCTAGGCTAAACTTGCAAAGCTAAGAAGGGAGCTTCTTGCACCTCCATCAAAAGGAGGTGCTGGTGCTGGTGAAGGCTTTGATGTTACTAAGAGTGGAGATGCAAGGGTTGGTCTAGTTGGTTTTCCTTCAGTTGGAAAATCAACCCTTCTGAATAAATTAACTGGAACTTTTTCAGAGGTATGCAACTTTTGCTTGTATCCTTATTGCTTTGATTACTGAAATTTAAAGGTCTGCATGATCCTTTAAACATTATGTGTTTCCACAAAAAAAAAAATGAAAAAGATTGAGCAGGATCTTCATATTATTCTTCTTAAGGATAAAAAATGTTATACTCTGCCAAATGGGCTACAATACGCCACATGGTGCTGAAGCTATGGTGTTACTTTGGCTTATTCTGTAAAGAAGCTACCTTGTTTCTGCTATATGGAGAGATGATATGGTTGATCTAAACCATCCATCAGATAGGGGGCTTTCTGGATTGGCCATATTTCATTCCCTCAGTTCATTTCAACCTTATAGGCTCACTATTCGTTAGATCATCCCGAAGTAATAGTTCAAAGTTTCATTATTTTATGTGCAGAAATGAAAGGCTTAATTGGGACAAATGGCAAGGGCTTTTGGTTGAGACTGGCCTCAACAATGAAAGTTGAGTTCATATTTATTATAAAAAACAATGAAGGTTGGGAAGGAAAATCAGTAGGTCCATTTTGGGACCCTAACCATGGTGTCGTATTGCAGATTTCAGGAAGGGTTGGGACCCTAATCATGGTGCTATATTGAAGATTCCAGGAAGGGTTAGATCTACTCTCTGGATGAATTGACTAGGAACATGTGCTACACAGTACAAACGCACATGCATGCACATAATTATATGTCGATTTCCTCTTTAACAAAGTCTTGGGCTAAATTTGGAATACAAATCCATTTTAAATGGTTCCATCTCTCATATTAATATTCTCCAGAGTGAGAGCTACAACTAAATTTTTGCCATTTTTTCTGGGGTTCTTAATAGATCTTATTGTTTTCAGGTTGCGTCCTATGAATTTACTACTTTAACTTGCATTCCGGGTGTGATTATGTACAGAGGAGCTAAAATTCAGGTATTTCTTATTAATCTTGTTTTTCTTCCTTCTGTGATTTCTTCTTTAATTTCATGTAAGCATGTAGGAAGGTTACAATTTTCTTTTTGAGTTAAAAATTTGGCAAAATGACACGCTGAATTCATTAGAGTTAGAATATATGCTTGATTCATGTTTTGTTTAGTATCATAAGAATTTCAAGAGTTTCATTATTGGCATATTTGATGATTCAGCTCCCTGCATAGTTGTCAAGGTGACGCCTAGGCAACAACAAGGCGTCCTTTGAGGCTCGCCTCGCCTAATCGCCAAGCAGTTCTCTACTTCCTACTATAAATTACTTTTTCATTCATTCTTTTTTGAGATTATAATTATAAAATAGACATTATTAAACTAAAATAATCATTTTGTGTGTTTATATACTAATTTCTTTTTATTATTTTCTTATTTATTAGGGTTTAATCAACACAAACATTTCTAAATGCTGTATTGAACCCTCAAAGACTTAAAAACCTGAACCAATAAGTAAGGAAGAACTTAAAATTTTATCTAATCAGCACATTTTCCTCTTCCATATATTCTCTACTTCTTCTTCTTCTTCTTCTGCTACTACTACTACTACTACTATTACTACTACTACTACTACTACTACTACTACTACTACTACTACTACTGTTACCAATACTTTTTATTTTCTTCTTTTCTTATAACAAAAATAAGGGTTCAGCCCCTATATTTTTTGAATTTTATTTTCCTTCTTCCTTTTCTTTTCATGAATATGTTGATTTTCTACACTTTAATATGAAATTTATACTTTTCTTATGAAAATCATGAATAATTATTAAAGAAATATGGTTATGGTACCTAGGGAACTACCCTAGGATCTATGTTTTTAACATAAAAAAATCCATCACCTAGGCAACTAGGCGACAAGGCGCTCCCCAGTCGCCTCGCCTCGCCTTGGCGCCTTGAAAACTATGGCTCCCTGCAAGTCAGCCGAGAATCAGTTCAGATAGCAGGTGTTGTAAGATATATGTTCAATAAGAGCAACCACCTTTCTACCTGATGGCCAACTAATAGTGTGTTATAAAGTAAAGGATAATGGATAATAGATCCAATTGAGTGCCTTCTCTTTTTCTCCGTTGCTTCCTTTCACTAACATTGCCTTGGAGTTTGGCACTCCACAGATTCTTGAGGACATTTCTACTTAACATTACCTCTCTATCTCCTAGCTTATTTGACAAATGAACAGCTAATGTACAGGTTTAAGCCACTTTTCGTATCATAGGTTACTTGGTAATGAAGATAACATTTTAGACCCTATTTTGCAGGTATATAATGTTAAATAAAAAAACTATTTTAATAGTATATACTTTCCCATAGATGTGTCCAGAAGTCCATGTTTTCTCATCTTGCCAAATCAGATTCTTGCACACACATTGGATTCCAGTTCCTGTGTTCATGTCCATGCAACACTGGCTCTAAATTAGTTTATTATGATAGATCAGTCATTGCATAGAAACTTTCAAGCTTTATTTTTATTGTTTTTTTCTTTTTGATGAGTAAGCTTTATTTTTATTGTTTCACATTTATTGGCAGCTACTGGATCTCCCTGGGATTATTGAAGGTGCAAAGGATGGAAAAGGTAGAGGGAGGCAGGTAACACATCTTCTCCTTTTCTTTTGGATTGTGTTGGAAATGCAGACCAGCAGAAAATGTTGTTATTTGCCAAATATACCAAATTCAAAAGTAATTTGATCAAAATTAGCTGTTTCTTTCATGTCCACATCTTCTCCTTTTCTTTTGGATTGTGTTGGAAATGCAGATCAGCAGAAAATGTTGTTGTTTGCCAAATATACCAAATTCAAAAAGTAATTTGGTCAAAATTAGCTGTTTCTTTCATGTCTTGCATTTATTCACCTAAACTTACACAAGCTGAAATTCTGGATTTGTGGAAATCTTGCTATCATTCCAACATAGTTCCTGAGATTTTTATTGTGTCCAACTCTTCTTGTCCTTGTTGTTTTCTACATGAGAAACAAATGATTTTTTTTTTTTTAAATTTTAACAATATTTAAGCTTTTATTTATTTTTTTGATAAATGAGTGTAGTTTTATTAATTCAAAAAATAGTAGTACATTCAGCCTAGGAAGAGGCACGAGGTGTTACCTCCCCCTAGGACTGAGTCATAAACACTAAACAAACAC